TCTATCTATCTATCTATCTATCTATCTATCTATCTATCTATCTATCTATTTATCTATCTATCTATCTATCTATCTATCTATCTATCTATCTATCTATCTATCTATCTATACATGCATACATACATACATACAAATCAAAATGTTGATTTAAACAAGAGCAACATTTCTTTCAGGGCAACATTTGATGTGTGGCATAAGTTATTTAGCTGAGCATGTAAGGCAATGATAAGGGCTTATTAATGTAGCAGATGGAGAAATGGCTTTGCTTAATCCATTCATCCATCCATCCATCCATCCATCCATCCATCCATCCATCCATTATCCATACCACTTATACCTAGTAAGCTCGTGGGGGGACAGTGCCTATTCCAGCAGACATCGGGCGACAAGCAGGGTACACCTTAGACAGGTTGCCATTCCATCACAGGGCCACACAAAGAAAAACGACATCACACACTCACAGTCACTCCTAGGGTCAATTTAAAGTGTTCAATTAACCTAACAGGCATGATTTTGGACGGTGGGAAGAACCCAGAGTACCCAGGGGGAAACTGTGCCAGAACAGGGAAAACAGGCAGCTTAAAACATGTTAACATGTTTGAATTTTAGTTAGGGATCACTCACATCCAAACACAAAAAAAAAAACTGATTCTTACTTCTGCATAGATTCTCTTGTCACTCTGCAATTTAGTGTTCTTGTCCAGGGGTGAAATGTAGTCTGGTGAGGTGTACAGTTGCATCACCAGAGGCGTGCGAGGAGATTCAGTCGTCATGGGAATTATGGGTTTTGGTACTGTTTCTGTAACTGCAGGAACCTTCCCTAAAATTGATAAAAGTAATAAAGTTAGTGGCTGACATCACTTTTGCTGATATTACATAATAGCCATTGCTTTATGTACCAAGAATCCCATGTGGGTTATGGGATTTTATATTCATCAATCGAGCATTGAAGAAGTCCTTCTATTTTGATACTTACTTACAATTTTGTAAGTGAAAAGAAATTTCAATAACAGTATATTTCAGTCATACCTTCATTGCTGTCTGCTCTTCCAAGGACCAGGTAAATATCCGAGTCTAACGACTTGATTTCAGTGTAGCTAGTGAACGCATTGACGTGAAAATATTCTAGAGCCATCCTCTGCACATCCACCGGCTTGTCACCTCTCAGTGAACCTTTATATGAAGGTGAGATCTTGTTTGAAAACGAAGCTAGCATCACATCGTTAGTGGACTGGAGACAAAAGAAGACAAGGTCAAATAAATGAGCTGTAATAATAAAAGTTTTGTGTCCAGTTGTTATTTTAAGAATGATATAAATATACTCTATACACTCATATGTATATATATGTATATATATGTATACTTACACCAAATTTGGCAAGTTGTTTACTGAAGATGGACCATGTGGTGCCCTGAGGCCCTCTAAGAAACAAACTAGTCCCATTTGTGATCACGAGAATGGACACATTGCTGGATATAAAGAATAATATGAGAAAGTTTGTCAACAGAGTGAAAAAAAGAAAAAGATTAAATGCTCTTTGTAATATAATACAATATTACCGTTTGCCAAAATTCTCTGGGATGTTGATGATATGAAGCTCATCTTTAACTGGGTTCTGTTCCTGTGGGAAGCAAGATTCTAAAAGATATGGATTTGCTTCAATCTGAATAAAGTCCTTCTTTAATACATCTTCATTTTCAAGGTTACAGTTTGCATGATCCGGATTGGTTCCTGCAAAAAGAATCGGTCAACATTAATTCTTTTAATTTTTTAAGTACAAAATTTCTTGAGGAGGTCATTGGTTTAAAAAAAAAAGATCAGTAAGATTTCAAAATGTCACTTCAAACTGGTGTTAATAACTCAGTGAGACTGTTGCTGATTCAGAGTCACTGCTAACAAAACAGACATTTCCATTTTGCAGGGGCCAACACCACAGAGCTAACCTGACGCACTAAATCATTTGTCACACAAAACCATCAGGAAAGTCTTCGCTGTATTCGGAAAAAGACAGGCAGTTACCACAAAAATACTAAGTTATTGAATGGACCCTCTATCTGTGTCTATTAGAGGCTTCACAAAGATACAGCCCAAACTGAACTACATAGCAGACAGTTGGGGCAGATATAATAATAACCTCGCTTTGCTGTTGTCTAAACAGATAACACCACATTCATCTACATTTTGCTTTGCAAAGATATAGATTTCTCACAGTATTTGTATGATGTATATAAACAAAATTTAAGCACTTTAAATTTACTACTACTAAAATAAAGACATATAAAAGATATAGGCACAATATCCTACTCAAACAAAGGACCTTTCAGTTTTATCTTTAAAATTCTGACTTAGACAAGGACATGCACTCACAACAACGGCATTTTAAAAAATAAGAAGAAAGAAGTATAAATTAGAAAATTAATCTGATGATGGACATAGAAAGAGTCATCAAAAGCCCTTTTTTTCTATCATTCCAGCTGTTAATTTCTTTTAAAACCAATGTCAAAGCTCTGCTTTGGCTCATGCTGCACTGAGCATTTCCCAGCTTTTCCTGATAGCAGTAACATCTCTTGATATCCTTAATATCTACACTTTACCCAGCCATGACTGTTCACTTTAAATCATAATGACTTTGTGCTTCCATCCTCAGCATCAGTGGTCAATTGTCCATGGCCTCCCTTTCCAAATGTTCTCATATATGCTTTGACATCTCATTAAACAGAAAGTTCACACCGCACTCAAATTTTTTAATTTATTTTTTTGCTCCCCTTTTTTTGTGTATCTAGAGAATCTTTTGGAGGTATTAGACATAGTCAAATCAAACCATAGGTGTCTCTTATTTTTTTTTCAAAATTATAACATCTACCATAAACTTATTTCCATCAGTCTTATTAAGTCCTACTATTGGGAAGATGATCTACTTTCCTCTTTATCATATAAGTCTCTTGAAAACTCATCTAATCCAAGAGCAACTTGTCACGTCAAACTTTTCAATACTCCCACTTTCTTTTCACTTGGTTTCATGCTGTGATTGTTCTCTGTCCTTGACTTAATGTAAATCCAACACTTTAAGATCTAAGATTTTAATAGGTTTTTTATACATATGATTACATACATAGACTAAAAAAAGAAAATGGTGTGCTGATGGCTAAATCATTGTGCAGCAGTTGGATTCATTGAAAAAGGTTTTATACACACTTGAAATAAGACAAGGTTAGTGGTGATGAAGGTTATTAAGACTGCTCTGGAAACAACACTGTATCCATCCTTGACTACCACACTGCAGACTCTCACTTATGTAAGCCTGAGTTGCTAGATGTGTCGATGGTAATTGCATTGTTCTCTTCAGCAGCAAACATACTGTCTCAGACCAAACAAAGATACAGATGGTATATCAAAGATAAAAAGCATTGTGTCAAAATTGATAAATTAGAAACACTTTAAAGCAGGCAAAAAGTTCTGTTCATTACTGCTGTGTCATCTGTTGGTATTCTTTGATGCTGACTCTCATGCATCTTTATTCAAAATGAATGGAATCTGAACCAGACATCAAAATGTTTTTAATCTGACAGTAACAACCAATGACAGATAAGCCTATTAAAACACATTTTAAGTAACACATGCATGCCTCACCTTGTGCTCCTGTTGTTGATATTCTGTTCGGATTTCGAATTGTTGTGAATGAGGTCATGCCGCCAAATTTCTGTTCTGCCCATTTGACCAGCTTCTCATTTTGCGTGGGGAAGTCATCATGGTAGGTGTTATTGTGACTATTTTTACCATTAATAAAAACCGAAATTGAGTAGTTGTTTTTAATCTGAAAAGTAAAGCACAGACATATGGCTTCGATTAAACACAACTCCAGGAAAACAGAGATTTCTGCATCAGGTTATAAGTCTGCATGTTCCTCATTACAATAACACAGAGGTGACACAGAGGTGACGCTTTATATATTTTTGCTTTTAGCTGCGGTCTGTTTAGAAAATGTATTTTAATTTTTCTTCTGTGTCATCTATCACATTATCCCTTGATAATTTTGTTCAGACTTTCCGCCCCACTCTCCCTCTATTCTCTGAGCAGGGCTCAGTTAAAAAGAAGTGTTTATTATGGTTAAGTATCCATGAGCCCAGTTGCACAACCCTGTTGGAGCCAAGGTCTTTCCTTTGCTTCCTGACTGGGGCCAGGAAATGGGGCCTTTTTTAGCTGTGTGCGTCACCACAATCTGGCTCCATACAAGGTATAAATATATACATCCATCCCATCGACTAGACACTGCTGTTTCCTTGTCTGGGCCAATGACAAATAGTGGAGTTTCAGCCTGGTATGAATAAGAATGAGAGGGCATTATAGGAACAGATAAAAAGTCTTAACAAAAACAACCAAAGAAGGAATATATGCTCCACTTTTATTTTGAACTGAGCATCTGATGATGCCTTTTTATCTTTAATCAAGGTTAATAAAAAATCATCTTCTTTAATGTGAATGTGAGCATCTAAAACACGTTACCAGAACAACAAAACTAAGGCCTTAAGCAATGTTTAACAGTATCAACTGAATAAAAAAGAGCAGATTCCGGTAACATGTTTTTTGCTTGCATTTAATTATGCCATCTATTTTCTAAACTATACACAAGGATATTTGTATTAGGGGGGACACACTCTGCAAAGATTTATATCTAACAGTATTTCACTGAACTAAAGGGAAGAAATTGGATTGTTTAAAGGAAGACTTGTGTGTTCTTTAAATAATCATATATGCTGCAATAAAATGTCGATGTAGTCTGAATAATAGACATCATTCATCCGACTTGCCAATGTGAATTTGTGTGAAGGCCTTCACCTCATAAAGCGGAATAAATGAATAAATCGATTCTTGTGCATAAATATTTGATTGACAAGGGATCAAAAATACTGTTAAAAGAGCCACAAACATAAAAGAAGGAAAGTCAGCCAAAGGGTTGGCAAAGAAGACCCTGAAAGAGAGGTGGTAAAAAAATGTTTATATATAATATTGCTAATCGTTTAATTGAATATAGTATTTATAGTTGCTAACAGTATCAATAAACTAGTTTGATATTAAACCGTCTTCCAATTAGTGGAATAAGCACATTTTCCATAAGGTCACATAACACACAGAAAAAATTAGTGCTAAATACTTTGTGGGCGAAATTTTTGTTGTGCCTACGTTTCTCAAAAACAACCTTGTGTATTCATGTCAGCCATGGGAAGCCGACAAGAGCTGTGACACTGAGCCAAGCTGTCAAGCTGGTGACGTACTTTCTCAAATACTGAACAGATGTTGATTCTCTTACATTGCAATCTGCAGAAAAGCACTATTATCCCCCAGTGATACAGCTCATCCCACAAAAACATCCTGCAGTCACAAGCAATGTTGTCCAGGCTCTCGACAGGACATGATACAGGATGTGGTATCACACTGCTGTCAGCGTATCAGTAATTGTTAGCAGGCCTGCAAACATGTCATCGTGCTGATTGGTTGGCCGGGATTTTATTTCACTTGTTTATTTTTTCATGTTTGAGCTTGGTAATTATACCAGCAAATTATTTGCAATACTGGAGTCGTTTATCTAAAATATCAGAGAGTCTTTAAACACACTGTGATGAAGAACCAAAAAGTTGTTAGGCCAGATTTGCAAGATTTTAATTATTTTGCAAAAGTTCAAGAGATGATACGACATTCACTCTGATTTCTCCTTGCCAGAGTTTAGAATAGTTCGAATAGTTATAGTTCTAGAGGAAAAGTGACCAATTCCACAGATTAAATTGTTGAACTTATAATCTTTTCATTGCAAACAATATTTAATTAGCAACACATTTAAGAGACAACAGACTGTCAAAACTAATATATTCTCATGGGTCCAAGAACTTACATTTTGTCAGTTGGAAGCTTCCTAACTTACTCTCTTAGTGGTATAATTCCTCTATTGAAACAGCACAACTGATTAAATCTTATGTGGTCTTCCTGCGTTCACTTCACATATATCATCCGTGAACAGTGAATAAAAGTCTGAATCTCACGCTTCATTGGAACATTAATTTCATTGCCAATAACATCAACCTTCCTCGTTATTTGTCATTCTGAAGAATCTCTTTCGGTTTTTATAGTGAGGATGGTTAAAAAAAAAAACACTAAAACAACACTGGCCCTTTCTGAGAGACCTTGAAGGATAAAGAGTTAGATAACATGGTCTTCTGTCTCTCCAAACTGACCCAAAGGGCTGAGCAGCCGTGTCATTTTGATAGCGCTAAATGTAAACAGCTGGTACCAGACAGGAGCGCTGGAGAAGAAAATTCTGAAAAAACTGAAAAATAAATAGCTTCAACACTAGTCCCCAGACACTCATCCTTGATGCTGAGTAATACAAAGTAGCAATGAGCGCATTTCCTCGCATTCCACTTCTATGAAGATGAGCTGCTTTGGACATACAATCACTCTTTATGCATCAAGAGAACTTAGTGACATAGAATTGTATGGAAGCTAACAGACAAATACAGAGAGACAGTACTCACGTAAATTTTTACTTCGTTGTTGACCCTGAAAACAATATGTGGCCGTTCTTCTGTGGATTTCAGGATTAGGACCATTGGTCTTGCATTGCTCATGTCCAGAATAAACATTCCCGCCACCTAGAGGGAAAAATAAATAAATTCAACCTAGTTATATACACATTTTAAAATGATTATTCATTAATAAACAGTCTTTATTAAGTTCAAGTAAAGTTCAAGATATGCATTTTCAATTATTACAATACATTTCAAATTCTCCTTTAGGAGCTTAACTTCTCTCTAAAAGTGGAGCTGCAGATCAAGAATGTCTGGAATGTGTGGAAACATTTAGGACTGATTGAAAAGAAAAAGTCACCAAGCATCATAGATACTTACTCACACTAAAAACACACAAGAGATAACGAGTCAATTCTACTTTGCTTTTTTTGTTTTTGGTAACGCAGATTGTATTTTACAGCTGCTCAAATCAATATACAGAATGAGAACATTGTATAGAGAAAAAACAATCACTCAAAGCTATAATATTTCCTTTATAATAAATAAATGTAAATACTGGAAAAAGCCTCACAGAGAGCAGTAAGGAAAGAGGAATTCATTTTTTATGACAGGCAGCACTAAATGTTATGTTTTACTGACATTCAGATTTACTGCTGAGACCATAATTCACAAACAACATAAGCATTTCATTTGGGCACTTTAGTTATGGATACAACAAGTGTGAGAAGTTTGGAAACAGCATTTAAAATTATTACATAAAGGGTTATGAACATTTTTATTTTTACAATCTTTCTCCTCAGAATGAAAATATATATATTAGTTTCATGTATAAAGTTGCTCTCCAATTTGCAAACCTCAAAAACTGTCATTAAATCACCAGATCTCAACTTAGCTGAACTGTAATATTCTGATTGCAGCGCCAAGTTGAAACATAAATCCAACTGCAGCTATATGCTGTAAAAGTGTGAATTTCTTTCTTTCCCATAGAAAATATGTCAAGATGTGTAACCATTGAAAACACACAACTGGTCAGGGTGAGGGGGAGGGTGGATATAAGGATATAAGCTTTCTTTGCTGTCTGCTTATGTAGTGACAAAGTTACTAATGAGCTAACATAGTTTTGATTTATTATTTCTGTGCAGTTCAAGTGAAAAGATTTTAATAGCTTACCCAGAGGGCAATAACCTGCCTTTTTTAGTAATTAAAACAGGGTTTATTTTCAATATTGGGTTAATATATAAACATTTAGACATCTGAAGCCATTGCCAACTCAGAAAAAAAACACAACCATGGTACTTTGAATGTAAAGTCAAACTCTTATACCGCTGCTTTCCCTTTAGCTACAGTTATTCACATGGCGTTATATAGTTCTTTTAACTTCAGAAATAACTCATCTATCAGTGTGCCTATCAGTGCTCAGTACAAATTGCAATATGGCCACACGCTGAAGCTGTTGGGTTTTATGGATGCAAATGGTGGAAAGTGGAATAATAAATCTCAATTTGGATAAGTCTATATACAATCTAACTTAACACCAATAAATCTGAACTCTAATTTTTTTAATAGCTCAAAGACTTGGAAAAATAATAATCTTGGATTTGCTGTGCGCAATGCAACACCTCAGGGAGGAAAAATAAGTAAGAAAACTCTTTAGTCTGAGGATTTCCTGCGACACAACGTTCATAAATATGCATTTCTGCTTTCATCAACTTTTGTATGCTTTTTGAATATCTACTTGCTTTATTTTTCAATAGCATGTTCATCGAAGGTAAACTGTATTCAGACCAGGCCTGTTGGGGAGTCAATGAGCATGCTGGGGAAACAGTGTGAATCCCTAACATTACACTCATTTACTTACTACCTGATATTGGCAGAGTGGGTTCCAAGAGACTTGTGGGGAGCTTAAGCCTTAGTTATGGAGATTTTCAAACACATACAGAGCAAATTAGGTCCAAGGAGACTATAGACAAATTGCCTGTGAGCAGAAGAGATGCAGCTGAAGGAGATGTTTGCAGGCAACAGGCAGAGGGATGTGTCATCACACAGAACAGACCCACTCTAGCATTGCCTTGTACATACAGGATTTTAATGACTGCACCTCAATGTGCTCAGTCTCTTTGTTGAGAGTGTACAGCAAGCCAAGATGTAGCCAACATCATGTAGATGTTGATCTTTATTTCTGAAGGGACCAGTGGTTCGGGTCACATGTAAAAATGACACGTGTTTACTGCTGCCTTTTTTCTCTAACCATGAAAAGAACTTGTAACAGGGATAAGGACGGAATATGTCACAGAGAGTTGTTACATATCCCAGCACTTTCTATAGGTTTATAAACTTATTTTTATATACTCTTTTTCATTTATAGAAAGATTTAACCGATCCTATGTTAACTTTTTTTTTTATAGAAATTGTGTGCAAATGAGATTTTGAATAAAATTGACTGGAATTTAAAAAAATATATATAAAATAATATTCTGGAATATTGTGGAAGAAAAGGTGCTGAAAAATAATATGTTGGCAGTTCAAAGCATTTGAGATCACTACAAAATACTACTTACTGATGTATACATTTTCTGTGTGGCTATTCCAATGCGTGTGTAATCTGTGTGATATCACCTGAATGTAGTGAAGTAATTACATTTTGATAAGATGAATACATTATTTATAAGAAAAAATAAAATGAATGGATTGCCCTGAGGATTTATAAAGCTGTTTAAAAAAATATCTACCTTTCTAGATTTGTATTAACACAGTACTTAAAAAAAAAAAAGAAAAGCCTCCAAATATTTACTTCATTTGTGCTGCATCCACAAAACAAATAAATGAATGGTATTTCCTGCTATGTTCAGTGTGCCACTTAGAGAGATACCTGATCGGTGTTTTCCTTAAATACTCCTTTCTAATCAGCTTCATTGTTTTACTGTCTATTTTTCTGGCTTTCATTCTTTTATGTTCGAACTCTGACACTGATCACTCACCTTTGTCTCTTTTGTTCTTGTGCTTTCAAGATACAATTGTTTTCCTTTTCAGGCTTTTTTCTGAATCTTTTATTTTTTTAAAAGACCTTTGCTGATGCAGTTTCCAGTTATTCTTTTGACTCTCTCCCTTAAGCTGAATTGGCTCCAGTGGTCTAGTCTCGGCCTAGTGCCAAGACCCTGAGTAAATGCCCAAGCCAGTGTGTGACATCAATGGGTCCTCTACAAGCAGCTGCTCCCTATGATCTGCCCGGGCCTGTACAGCCTCTTGATGCTCCAGCTATAATTTTGTGTGGTCAAATTGGGAGAGTCAGAAGTGCCTGGCAGGCCGTAAATCAGTATGAAAATAAAGGGACGGGTTAGAAGGTGATAAGAGAGTTTAAAGGACGAAGAATATGCAACGGCAAATCTCTTTCCTGACTGGAGTGTCTCTTCTTTTGTATTTCAAACATGTTTCAAAAGGATAGTTTGAAAGCTTGTATTAAACAGATCTCAGGCCAAATGTATCATGAAGCCCCACACTAAGTTCAGCTGTGTTGAAGTAAAGTTTCTGCAATTAAACTGTCATCTTCACACAGATCATAATGTGCCTGGTGTTTTTTATTCCCCAGAACTAAAAAAAAACAGATAGAATGAATCAATTCTCTCCTAATATGATTCAAATCGGTTTTGTCCTCAAACCGCATTTTAGACTGATTCACCGTCTATTAAATTAGACAAAAGACTCTCTGAGGAAACTGAATATGTTTGCTCAATATTGGCAGTCTCATTTATTTTCAAAAGTTGGAAAATACACTTTTTGCAAAATGGGGTATTAGTCAGGCTAACAGCTACATTTGCATGTTTTGTGTAAAAGTCTGACTTTTCTGGAAGATGCTTAAGGAATCTACGCTGGAAGCTGATTTTCATTAAAAAACACAGGTGGATGGGTGAGCACATGCTGTGTTGGAGCATCCAGTGTCACAACCACATTGAGGACATTTTCTTCCTGGCTAATAACTACCATCAAAAGAGGAAAACAGATCAGTAGAGAGAAAAAATAAAAAGAGATTATCAACAAACAACCGCTCACAAAAAGTTTTGTGGTTGTACAACACAGAGAACAAACAGAGGACAGAAACAAAGATAGAAAACTGATAAAGAAAGACAGATGTTAGCTGACCGACAGTGTTGACCAGTGAAAAATGGTGTATAACGCATCAATAACAGCACAGAGATTAAAAGTTTTCATAAGATAGTTTTTTTGCCATTCTCAAGAGAAAAGTTTGAAAATCAAAATGACCAAACATCCTGTCTGTATTGATGGCATGTGCTTAGCTGAAAAGGGAATTCTTTAAAAACAGCCAAATTTGCAGAACTGTCTGTTAGAGAGGCAAAAAACAACTGACATGCTGATAAATCCTTGCGATATTATGTCTGGTATCTGTTCAATGTCTTAACCACTTGTCTGGATGACAAAGTGTGCGTGTTTATATTCCACAGTGTGGGAGAATGGTTTGAAAGGCTCATTTCAGTTTCAGAGTAAAAGTGCGAACACAGTAAACCTTATATGAATAAGGTCAAATATATCTGGGCAACATCAAATGTCATACCAACTTTTATGCATGTGTAGTTTCTAAGCATTTTTTTCCCATGGTGCCTTCTCTGTCTGCAGTTTAACATTGTTTGGTACGCACTCATTTCATGTTTGAGAATGAACAGAGCCTGAAATTAAATGAGGTATACACAGTAGTGCTAGCTGTCTAATCCCACGTTATAATATTAGGAAAAACACAGGTTTGACTGAAATTTGTTTATTGGTATTAAAGAATCTGGGTATTATGACTATGAATCAAAGTACAAAATGGTATGACTTAAAACTTTATTAAAACAGCTACTTCAAATGCTCAATATCTTCTACAAACCAACACCTTCCAAGAAATTCTAAACATTAATTAATGGTTCCATACTGATGTACAAAAATATTAATTATGAGAGCTGTCTTCATTGAACCTGTAGGAAATGTATCCTTCAGTCCTTCCTTAGATTAATTGCTCTATAATATTCCGTAATGACAAATATTCCAGTGTTTGCCTGTATTGTGATCAGTCATTTGTTATCTTGCCTGTTAGGAACCTGTACTTTGTCTCTACCACAAGGAACATATCAGGGGCCTGTGGTCTGTGCATCAGTCCTTCTATCTGTGTGATGAAGCGTGCTGTGTATGCAGACAGTGCTGCATTTCTTTGTGTTTTCTGTTATTACAATATTGAAATAATTACATTTCTTCTCAGTCAACAAGATGCAGTCTTTGCTTACCGATCCGGTAAAGTCCAGATTAAGGATGTGGACCTCTGCTTTGTCTTCTCTGACAAAACTGGTCCAGCAGCCAGTTGTCATCTCCCTCATATACGCCCATGGGTTTTCCTTTCCATTCTTTGGATCACAGGTCCAACTTGTAGCTGAAAGGAATTAAGTAAACATGGTTAAAACCATGTCAGTGGAATGTTCCAGTGATAAAAATACATTTTCTTCCCTCACTATGAAAAACGAGTTTCTGTTGATCATTAGTCGAACATGAAAAACTGCCAAGGAATAGAAAGTTTGAATCTAATGATCCTCACGTGGTGACCAAAAACATTCAGTGAAATCAAACTTGACTGTGTGAAAGGGAGAAAGCCGTCATTTAAGAGACAGATAAACCCTGCAATATTACAGATCCCTTGCATGCAGAGGGCTGCATTTGTTATTAATCATACTGAAAGCTTTCTCCTCATTTCAGAGTATGGATGTTAAATGTGAGGGTAGGACTATATTGTTTAAAAGCAGATCCGCCGCTTTGCGTTTATCAGACGTGTCAGGACACCGGGCTGCAGTCATCCATCAAGCTTGTTCACTTGGCTCTCTGCTGTGAGGCTGCTGTTTAACCTAGGGATCCATGTCTCTGGAGGCTGAATTAATCAAACTGAGGCTGTGCGGTCATGGGTGAAGTTGGTTATAAATGCCTGCAGTTTGACCTGTGCGATGTGTGTGTGTGTTTGTTCTCCTTGTGTTAGCTTCAAGTGAGTCTACAAAGCTTCCAGAGACAAAATATTTAACAGCAAAGTTACTTTTCTCTTTACAAAAAACAACAACTATACATATCTATATATATCAAAGGAAGAAAAATAGCCACCCTTGAGATGAGATCTGATCTGGACTTTGACCTAACTGCAAAGTCTACCTTGACCTAGCTTTGCAATGTTAGGAGCTCTTGTGTTATCAGTCTGAGCCGTCATGCACCTGCACATTAAAGAAGCATATCAGGGGTAAGATGAATATCAGCAATATATGCCTGATGCAGGCTTAAATCAGCCCAAAAAGACCTGGTGTTGAAGTGCGATACCAGAACTGAAACAGCTAATTTAGTGCGTAAATGCTGCACGACATACCGCTCCAGTGACTTTTATGATGAATTCTGTCTGTTTACCCAAAGCACCACCATATATCAGAGAAAGGAGATGTGGTGTAAACTGGAAGAAAGGGTTAATGGGACCTTTCAAAGACTGGAATGTTAACCGGATGCGCCTTATTTAGATGCAGCATTAATGAAAGGCCTTGATTAAGGCAACGCCATCAGTAACGGTGAGGGATACAGGACAAAGAAAGATAAAATTGGACACAAGATTAATGCAATGAATGTAACAAGCAGAAAAATAGAAGGTACCAGAACTGATCATATGAGGAGCACTTTCTCCTTTATTCTTCCTCGTCTTCTATTTTTACATCTTCATTCTGAAATAATGCCAATATGTTGGACTTATTAAATGGTGGTCAATGGGGTACACCCTGGACACTCCGCCGGTCCATCGCAGGGAATGGTTTTCTTGCAACATCTTTGATTCACAACATTACTGTTACAGTTACAAAAAAAGCTGCTTTGCACATGACTGATTGTCATGTTTTTAGACTTTCACTCTTGAATTTCTCTGATTTTACATTGCGCATGTAATGTGTCTTGTGCATTTGCCTCTTGAAATCTTACTTTTTCCCCTTCTTTTAATGGAGTAAGTCTTCAGCTGGTTTTGGTCAAACTAATGAAAAATTTCCCACAATTTAGTAGATTGACGGGGACAGGCGTTTAGAGTGGGGAGGTGTCATTTGTGGAACTATTTTTTCCACATAAGTCAAGATGGAGAATCATCCATGCCCTTTTGCCCCTTCTTTCCACCCTGTTGCCTCAGAGGTCAAAGCTGACTTCCTGTTATTCTGGCCTTTCAGTCCGCTGTCCATTGCTTAATATCCAGATCCATTAAGTTATTTCTCTTGTGTTCTATTGTGACAGAGTCAACGGCCCATGACTGTCACGCAAGGGTTCTAGGTATAAATCACTGTAAATGTAGTTGCATGCATCACGGGCCTCCTTTAATGAGTCACCATAGAATACCAAGAACATTCATTTTGCCCCTTTGACCCCGGAAATGCCAATGGCCCCGCTAAGTAGTTTGCTGGTAAATGAGGTATAGAAGAGTCATTCTATCCTGTGTCCTCTTTATCTACTCATATCAGTCCCCTCCATTTCCCATTCCATGAGAGGATGCATTTATGGATGGTAAGTATCGTGGCTAGAGGTGAATAGAAAGCATTTGGGAAAAAAATAAAGGAGGCTCAATTCAATGAAAAGGGTTCTGCCTAATGTAACTACATTTTCCCTATTTCATTTGGCTTTTTTTAGTGCGGATCAAATTAAAATACCTGCAGCAGACGTATTAAAACCGTATTTAAAATAAGACAATAGGTCTTGGTATGCAGCCAAAATGTATACAAATCATTTAACTATTTCTGCGTCTGCAATAAAATGGAGATATTAACCATTAAAGAGAGGAAATCTGATGTTAACCCCTAAAGTTTTGGGGCAGCCCCATTATCAAACAGACTTCTTCACCAAAGTTAAGTTTTTGACTACACAAGAGAACAAGACATTTTAATTAACTGGCATTTTTCTGAAATTACTACTTTGGAATTTTTTTTTATAAAGTCCATACCAAAGGCAGCACTATAAGCCAAAGAGAAACACACAATAAAACTTGTTGCATAAACAGAGAAAAATCAACATGTCAGGGTAAACTTTACAAAGTAGGAAATCTTTGTTGTGCTATTCCATTTCCAAACAAACAGACTTTGTGTTGAAGCACTTTTTCAAGTCACGATATCTGATTGATAGCTGTCTTTCTAATTAAGTTTTACCTTGTACATCTTTGACCCAGTAGTCAGACTGGTCCTACTAAACTATCTTTAACCCTTTTATGAAAAAAAGGTCCCATAAATAGCCCAGTAAATTTTCCATATGCTTCTTATTTTGATTATTTATCATGTGTCAGCATCTTAGTGGTAAGTGGGCCTCAGATAAATTTGCATTGACTGACCTATAAGAGACTGCTGAAAGAGGGACCCTAACCTGAAAACAGTCCAAAGAAAAAAAAAAAGTCTTCAACAAAAAGAAATAATAACTTCATACTTCCCTGGAAAATAGTATTTTGTTGATCTTAAGAGCTGACATTCTTTTTGGGAAAAAAAATGCATTTTCTTTTCCCAACACAGATATATCTGATTTGCTCGTGTAAAGGCATGTCGATGGAAAAATTCAAATCTCAGAAGTGTTAGTCGGCTTGTATCACTGTATAATAAAATCTGAGTATTTATACCATGCTGAGTATTGTCTTTCAATGGTGTGCCCTTGAATTTAAACTTTATACCACCCTTTAACCAAATAAATTTAAATTCAGTGGATCTACTTTTTCTGTTCAACTGCTAGCGAGGGGAGTTCTTATTAACCTCAGAAAACGTACGCAGGCATGTTTGATTCCATGCCCTGCTTTTCTTGCCGTCCCTAATTCTAAGCCCCAGCATCAGCTACTCGTCAAGTGTCTAGATATAAAGAAAAACTTGCAGCAGTTTCATTTGGATAGCTGTTTTTCAAAGAGAGAGGAGGAATAAAAAGGAGGGGGAAACCCTGACAGCAAACAACGTCAAGACCGAATGTCTCCCATGGTCCCCTGGGACAGAGTAAACTGTTTGTGTCCAGGGTCGGGCGACAGAGTCATGATGGAGAAGGGGGAGGGAGGGTCAGCAGTCCTATCAGAGTTAGTCGGAGAGGGAAAGGGGAGCTTCAAGGCATGCTTAAGTTTCTCTCTGGACTCCACGTACACACACACATACACACACACCTATTGTCCTGGCGTTTCCGCGACTGTAGATTGAGGCCTGACCATCCACAGGAAGGTAAACAAACTCTTATCAGTGCTCTGCAGGGGCCTGCACTGTCCCCTAGCCTCTCACCCCTGCATACTACACATTACACACTCAATGCAACACACAGGCTTCCTGACCATCTCACCTCCGTCTTCACGGACCTGAAATGGTATCAAAAACGGGGGGGAAAAAATGCTGATTAGTTTTTTTCAGATTATTAGGTTAAGTCTTTTGTCTGCAAGCCAACTCTTGCTTCCAGTTTTTGCTGGAGAGGAACTGAGGATGTGATAGCTTGTCTGGAGACAGCCTGTCTTCACACTAGCTCTGTTTACACCTCTGGGAACCATTCGTCCGTCGTCTCATCGTTGGCGGAGGCCCGAGGAACTGCAATCTAACAGCTGCATTGTTCACCGGCCGACGTTCTGCCTTGTCTGCTATAAGTATTTAGTCATTACCAATGATTTGTGTCAATCTGCCAAAAAAAGGCATATAAATGTCATATATAAATATGACAATTGTTTGATTGTCATACATACATACATACATACATACATACATACATACATACATACAT